TGAAAGTGGTAATTAATTACGTTAATTACGAATTACGTATTTACGGTAATTAGCTAATTACCATATCATGTATAATTCAAACTCCCACCCCAAAATTTAATTGGTAAATTTCAAATTGACACAAAATTTGATTTTCACGCACAACATCAAAATTAATTTTCACCAAAAAATTAATAATATCAAAATAAATTAATTTTTACCAAAAAACTATTAAAATAATTCATTATGCGTAGGTCACTACCTGTGCCAGATCCTTATTTTGATTTTTTAACTCACAAAAAATATGGAAGAGTAGATGAGGTTATCTCTGAAGAGTTGCAAAACTCAGAATTGGAACTAGCACTTGGTCAAGATTATTTGCGAAAAGAAAATCAAAAACTTAAAAAGGAGATAGAAAAAAAAAACTTGGAACTATCACTTGGTCAAGATTATTTGCGAAAAGAAAATCAAGAACTTAAAAAGAAGATAGAAAAAAAAAACTTGGAACTATCACTTGGTCAAGTTTGTTTGCGAAAAGTAAATCAAGAACCTAAAAAGGAGATAGAAAAAAAAAACTTGGAACTGTCACTTGGTCAAGATTATTTACGAAAAGAAAATCAAGAACTTAAAAAGGAGATAGAAATAAAAGACTTGGAACTATCACTTGATCAAGATTATTTGCGAAAAGAAAATCAAAAACTTAAAAAGGAGATAGAAAAAAAAAACTTGGAACTATCACTTGGTCAAGATTGTTTGCGAAAAGAAAATCAAGAACTTAAAAAGGAGATAGAAAAAAAAAACTTGGAACTATCACTTGGTCAAGATTATTTACGAAAAGAAAATCAAGAACTTAAAAAAGAGATAGAAAAAAAAAACTTGGAACTATCACTTGGTCAAGATTATTTGCGAAAAGAAAATCAAAAACTTAAAAGGGAGATAGAAATAAAAGACTTGGAACTATCACTTGGTCAAGATTATTTGCGAAAAGAAAATCAAAAACTTAAAAAGGAGATAGAAAAAAAAAACTTGGAACTATCACTTGGTCAAGATTGTTTGCGAAAAGAAAATCAAGAACTTAAAAAGGAGATAGAAAAAAAAAACTTGGAACTATCACTTGGTCAAGATTGTTTGCGAAAAAAAAATCAAGAACTTAAAAAAGAGATAGGAGAAAAACGGTTAGAATTAAATAAAGTTAAAGAAGCCTTGGGACAAAAACAATCAGATGTAGACTTATCAGTTAGTCAACAGCAAGAATTAGTTGCTCAAAAACAGGAAATAAAACATTATTTAAGTTTGAAGCAAACAGAAAACTTAAAACTTAGAGAAAAGGTTACTGAATTGGAAAAAAAAGTGCATTCACTAGAAAAAGAATTATTAGAAAGGAAATTGATTGGTTACAAATCAGAGTTGAACAACCTGCTTATTGTAATAAAGGAGAAAAGTAAAATGGAACAGAAAGAATTATTGGATGATTTATTAGAGGCTCAAGTTGAGCTAATAAAGTTTAACAATACTTTTATCCAAAAGCAACTAGAAAAAACTAAGAATAAATTAACTAGTAGTAGTGAAATTAGTGAGAAAGAGATAAAGGCAATACTTCAAAAACAGCAAGAAATTACTAAATTAGAAATACAAATGGAACGATTTCCCTCTTCTCGAATAAAATTAACCTCTTCAACAACAAACGAAGATCGGGGAGTATTATCACTATAAAATCACAATGATTAAACATTTTTTATGTACATCATATGACAAAGATTTAAAAATTATAATTCTGTCTTTTATTGTCAAATTTAAATTTTTTTTTTTTTTGTAAAGAATCTCTTCAAATCTCCCTCTGGAAAACATTCTCACTGCATGATTTCAGCTTTCTATGAACCTTGTCACGTTATAGCTAACGTTGATCTAACTAATTCTAGAATAATTAAATTCTTTCCAGGATTATTTGAATTATTTAGGTTCTTTAGTGCCACACGCCGAGATTCAAATTCCTTTTTATTTTTACCATAATCATCAATAGCTCACAGTATAAATTGAACTGAATGTATACAAAAACTCGTTAAACAAGGATTGTGCTGTGTTAATATGGATATTATTAATACACAGTGAGTGATCTTCTAGACTGATTTCTACCTCCTTACTTTTTATATGCAATTGCTTTGGTTAAAGAAATTTGTGCAATTCATTTGTTATATTCGTTAAATGTTCATTTTGTATATCATGGTAATGATTTTTTGATGACCATCAACAGGACTTGCATCTTCTGCGAAGAAAATTTTTCATCAGGTGATTCACTATTATATTCTGCAATTGATTGTGATTTGAAGATTATATGAACTTGCAAATTTTTTTTAGACGGATCAGGGTTATGACAAGTTAGGCAGGGTTGATTGAGTAAATAATTTGGTGGGATGTTTGTTTGTATCAACAAGTATTATTGATCCAATTTTCCTTCTATAGTTTTTTGCGTTCAATCATTCAATAATTCTTTATTGCCTGAATTTTCTACATAATACTTTACTTGATTTTCTTGGGTTCCATAGTCAATTGCAAGTGTCAAAGTTGCTTTTGAAGATAAATTTACACCTGTTACTTTTGCAACCAGCTTTTTCCATATTGGTATTGTATCCAGTATGGGATTCTAAAACAAAAATGAATTAAAAAAATCATGAAAATAGAAGTTTGAGAAGTTTGATAAATATTATTGATTCGGTATAGATGTTTAGGGGTTGGGAGAGATATTTGAAAGTTTAGCAAGAGTTCAATATAGAGAATTTGGAGTTTGAACTTTATAAATGGTAAAACCCTTTATTTTTTAATACAACCTTTTACATTTTTTACATATAATGAAAAGGTATGATTCTAAGCCATGTATTTTTATATATTTTTATAAAGAAGCATTACACGCTATCTTCGAGATTCACTGGCAGACACTTTCATATTTGATTTTACTATGTGGATCAAACCTATCCTTTGAAATAAATTTATTAATATTAATTAATCATTATTAAAAATTAAATTAAATTAACAAAAGAAAATATTGCACTTTGCAATAATCAAAATCACAGTAATCATCACTATCATCAATCTTTTCTTCCGTTCGTGTTTCTTTTTCTTGAGTAAAACCTTGATAAATTTTGTTGATTTGTTTTCAGAACTCTTGACATTGTTCAGCGTTTGTATATATAACTATTAAAGATAGTAAAGAAAAGTTATTATATTTATATTTGTATTCATGTTTGTATTCGTATTTATTCAACAATTTATATTAATTGAATTGAATATGTATCTGCCCTGGGTAATGCTGTATGAATAATATTCGAATAATTATTCGACAACGACCATAAGGAAAGACTATATTTAATTTTTATTGGCCACAAATTGACTCCTAGAATGTGATTATTTTGATAATTCCACAGAGCTTCGAGAGGGCCTAGAATCAATGTAAATAAATAATAAAATACTCACTCTTGTAAAAAGAAAATTTTTTTTCAATTTTGTGACAGTTTAAAATCTGGATCTTTTTATTATTATGTTGTGAAACATAGCTAAAAAATGAAGATCTACATATGTCAGACTTCCAATTGAAAGTCCCATTAATATAATAATTTGACCCAAAGATTGATCCTAACACTAAATTAATTGACCCTATTATAATTATTGGATTTATATATGAATTTGACCCAGCTGCGGTAGTAATATATCTATGAAGTTTGCAGGTCCTTTCTAAATACCATAAAGGAAATGAATGTGGCAGTCAATGGCAAATGCAAGCTTCATTAATTTTTAATATTCATTAGACAAAAAGAAATGTTACATAAATTGGATATCAAGGTACGACACATCTAATTTAAAAGAACAAGAAAGTTATCCAGAAACGAACCTGCAATTTGTCATGTGGGATTGGTGGATGTGAAGAGTAAAGAATCTGTCCAATTTTTCTGACGTGTGTGTTTTTATGATATCATTAATCTTTTTCCTTTCATTGAGAATGAGGAAGATTCAGTTCATAAACTGCCGGTTTGGCTGTTGAACCGAGGTTTATAATATTATATTTAGTTTATTTAATATATACAGCGCCTAGATAAAGGAATCGAAATGCAAATACGCATATTAATATATAAAAAAGTTCGCTGGCATGATTGTTTTTAAAAATATTTCTATTATGTATAGCAAATACAGTATAACCTCGTTTCAACGGAAACAAAATTAATCGTGTTTCAACGGATTTTATATAATAATAATGTGTAACAGAGATTTTTAAAATCCATTGAAACGTGAATTTAATTATAATCCGTTGAAACAATGGTTATTGTTATACTGTAATTAATAATAATAATAAATTATAATTTAAACTTTTTTAAACGAAACGTCGTAATGCCAAGGAAAAAAAAAAGAAATTCGCTTTGCGTTGAAAATCAATTTAAATACAGATAGACTCTCTCTAGCTGTTACAGTCAGTTGTTAAATTCTTGTTGTCAACAATAAAAAAATAAACAACGACAACTATCAGACGAAAATGAACCGTTCTGTCAAATGCGACTGCAATTATCACTTTCACAGATTCCATTCAAGAACAATACTCTGATGCTGCACTAGGTAAATAATCGAGATCTTTGCCTTCGTATGTTTCAATTCATTTTTCTTTACAACTTAATACTACCGTTTCTGTTTTAGCATGTAGAACTTGTCTTTTTTCTAATATCTATGAATGAAACACCAGTGGTACCAAAATTTGTGATTACGGTCCTTGAAAATTTGGTTGTTGTGCAAATTCTCTGACTTCTGCTTCCCTGGCAGTGAATGCAATTACGATGATTTTGTGTTGCTACCAGAACTTTAAATTTTTATGTATTAATGTTAATAAAAGTTACTGAGGGTCATATTTTTGCATAAAAAAGATTTAATAAAATTGGAGCTTCTAATCCGGACAAGAAATCAACATTTGAGATAAAAATCAAAAAAACATTGGATAATGATTACTTTACCCAATCAAAATAAATTTAAATACACGTTTTTTTGTAAAAATAAACACTGCTACAAGATTATAAAATTCCAATATTATTATTAATATTAATATGTTCGATAAAATACGTTTTAGTATTAGTATATGATTAGAAACTCCATTATTTATTCCATATCAACATTAGAGTTAATAATGTTATCAACAAAAACGAACCAATACTCAATTAAAAAATAATTAATTTTGCATAGAATGGAAAAAGTTTTTGTTTCAGATAAGAATTTCTCAAGTCAGGCAATATATTAAATGCAAAGCTATTGGCATTGGTAAAATTTAAAACCTTGCCCACCTTATTGCTTTAAATGGAAAATAAGAGTTGAGCTTAAAGATGTAACCTCTAAAATATTCTGCAGTATACCCAAATTTTAACCAAATTAGGCGAAAAAGTTCAAACATAATCTTATTGTTTGACGATAATCTACTAATATAAACAGTATTCATCTGGTTTCATTTTATTCATTTATTTCTCTTTTATATCTACTTTTTTCATATAATCATGGCTGATAATAAATTATGTGGAGCCACAACAATTATTGGTATGTCTTTTATCCTTTATTATTATCCCTTCTTCTTCTCTTTTACCTTTTCTGATAATAATAATAATAATATTTATTTATTTTAATGATTGATAAGTTCTTGGAGCTTCCGGTGACCTTGCAAAAAAGAAAACATATCCTGCACTATTTGGTCTTTATCGTAATGGTTTTTTGCCAGCAAGAACTTGTATCGTTGGATATGCCAGAACAAAATTAGATTTAAAAACATTCCATGAAAGAATTTCTGCTTTTGTTAAAATTCTAAATGATGAAATTAGACAACAACTTTCTGAATTCTTAAAACTTTGTACTTATGTTTCTGGACAATACGATAATGACGATGATTATAAAAGATTGAATAAGAGCATTGAAGATATTGAACGTCGTGACACTAAAAATATAGCAAAGAATCGTATTTTCTATATGGCTTTACCACCAAGTGTATTTGTCCCTGTTGCAACTGGTGTAAGAAACAATGTTTATACAAGAAGAGGCATTAATCGACTAATTGTCGAGAAACCTTTTGGTCATGATCTTGAAAGTTCTCGTGAGTTGGACAAAGCTTTGGCTCCTTTATGGAAAGAAGATGAGGTATTAAATTATTATTTTTTTCAATACTTTGAAGGAAATTACTATAAAGATTCATTCACTTACCTATCTTATATTTATACTATATTTACATGGACTTTTATATTTGTAGACTTATCGTATCGATCATTATTTAGGCAAAGAAATGGTTAAAAATCTCTTGACAATCAGATTTGCTAATGTTTTCTTTGGTGCAATTTGGAATCGTTATAGTATTTCCAATATTCAAATTACATTTAAAGAACAAATTGGTACAGAGGGTCGTGGTGGTTACTTTGATGAATTTGGTATTATTCGTGATGTTATGCAAAATCGTAAGTTTACTTTTTCTTCATCATCATCATTATCAACAACATTGTCTTTTTTTAAAAAAATAAGGTTTATTTATGCATTTGTTTATTTTTTGCTAGATCTTTTGCAAATTTTAAGTATTGCTGCTATGGAACGTCCCGTATCACTGAGTGCTGAAGATGTTCGCGATGAAAAAGTATGTATTTTTTATGGAAAAACCTTATAATTACAAATTTATAAGATCTTCATATTCAATATGCACACACATACAATATTAGGTTCGTGTTTTACGTAATATTCCACCTGTCAAATTAGATGATGTTTTCTTAGGACAATATTCAAAATCAGAAGATGGTACCAAACTAGGATATCTTGACGATAAGACAGTGCCAGCTGGTAGCAATTGTCCAACATATGCTATTGCTGTATTATTTATCAATAATGAACGTTGGGAAGGTGTACCATTTATTCTTAAATGTGGAAAAGGTAAATTTGATGGATATGTAGTCATTTATTTTTAAATGAAAGAAATATTTATATACATATTTAATTAACTTTGATCTTTAAGCATTGAATGAGCCAAAAACCGAAATCCGTGTTCAATTCCAAGACGTTCCCGGAAATGTATTCAAAGATGCATCACGTAACGAACTAGTTATTCGAGTACAACCAAACGAAGCTGTCTATATGAAGATGACCAGCAAATTGCCAGGTCTTTCAATGGATACTGTCATTTCAGAATTGGACCTTACTTATAAAAAGCGATTTTCAGATTTGAAAATTCCTGATGCTTATGAAGCATTAATTCTTGATGTATTAAATGGTGATCATTCTAATTTTGTCAGGAATGACGAATTGGATGCTGCTTGGAGGATATTCACTCCAATTCTTCATAAGATTGAAAATGAAAAAATCAAACCATTACCTTATGCTTATGGATCTCGTGGTCCAGCAGGTAGTGATGAATTTGTCGCAAAGTATGGATACAAACGAAGCACCCAAGAATATAATTGGACAGAACGTCATTAATCAAATTTGATGATTAGTTTTACCTATGTAATATATTTAAAAAGTATGATTGAAATCTTGTGTTTTATATATGTATATATGCATATTTTATTTATATATTCATTGATGAATCTTCAATAAAGATCACATTTTAAACTCTAACACCCTACATGGTAGTTGCAAATAAATGTATGCCGGCTTTTAATGATAACAAATTTTAATAATATGGTTCAAATCTATCATCTTTATAGTGTAATCTTGAGTCATTGTGCAATTCAAAAAATTACAGAGTATTATTTCCCAAGAAATGATGAAAATCACACTAGTATCATAACCATGCCATTTGCTTATCTCATGCACATTCAATGCAATATAATGTCACGAGTACCAACAGATCTCCAAAATATATGTTTTTTTCCTCTTCTGTTATCACAATCTCATTTCCTTATATCACATTACGTTGACCTTTTTACACTTATTACGTTCTACGAGACCTTTCTCTAGCATATTTGGTGAATGCCATCGATTACTTTCTTGCGACTGACAACCTGTTGCTTGTCTTGGATAAATATTAATGGTTCTGTGAGCAAGAATGAGTCAGAAAATGGGACGTTCTGCAAATTGTGGTAGATGATGCATTCTAGTGAAGACTGATTATTAATGTTTAACAAATTCATTCCAGTTTTTTTCATTAATCTGCTGATTCGTCGAACAAACAGTAATACAGGCGAAAACTTGGGCGACATGTCTTTCTGGTTGTGCCTTAATGGGACAAGTTGTGAAAGCAGACAACTGCATGGGTCAATAGCTCCATTGACAATTGATCTCTAGTATATCGCTCATACATGTCAAGGTTCTGATGAGAGTAGATTTCATGAAAAGTAAGAAATGGAAGCTTAATTTTTTTGTTCTTATTTCCATCGAGAAAAATTAGTTCCTCCTTCTCCAATTTGAGTATAGAAGTTAGATGTATTCATAAAGAACGTAATTATCATGATTTTAAGCAGACTTGCCTCAATTTTACGCCTATTATTAATGCTAACTGTGTCCGTCTGATCAACAGGTTACCCAACCAAAGTGAACAATGTGTATGCCATTAAGAAAGGACAATTACAATATTATCTTTTGATATGTAGTGGTCAGAGTAACATTGATACTTTTCAGTTGATGTTCTCTTGAGGAGCTCTTGACAATGCCTTGGTTGATGTTGATATTCTTGTAAGAAGTAATGTAATCCACTTTGATAGAATGTGTTACTTCCTTATTAACAACAGCCGAACCAATCTCACTCATTTGGAAGATCATAGCCTCGAGAAAACGGCTGACGACGTCAAGAAGTTCAATTATGTATTTCAAATGTTCTGTGAGCTAATTGATTCTATCAGCAAAAATTTCAATAAAAATTGTTGCAAGGTCACGAAACACACAACACACATCAAATACTCACCTTTTTGTTTCATCAACCACCTGATAAAAATATCAGGTTAGATTAGCTCAGCATTAACCAACAACAAATGCCAATAAAATTATAACTCACCCCCGGTAAACTTCATCAGTGTGCTCGGACTTGAGCAATGGTAAAGATATGTCTTCGGTTTTTGCATTACTTGATTTGACTGTATCAAACAGAACGCTCACATGAGTATCTGATAAGATAACCAAGAGAAAATATCCCTTCAAGATTATTCACGAGAGATACCTAAGAGCTATCTGAAGCCAGTTGCCATTTTTTGAGTCAAACAGCATGTTTTTTTTGTTGATGTTTATGATAAAGAGGGGGAGATTTAATCTGATCATACAAGCACAGGATGTAAAATAGAATTACATCAATGATATTCTCAAGTAAACATACTTCCTAAAAATTTCAAAAATGATACTGATACTGCAAAGCAATTACAAAGCGATCAAGCAAGTATAATGATGTTTTCTCTCTTTGCCAGAGTCGAAATGTGTCTATATTCATTCACCTTAACTATTATCATCTCCAATTGCCACTTCAAATGGTGATACAGACCAATCATTCATCATCTTGATAAGAAACTTATAATTACCCAGCAATATCTGCTCCGCGGTTTGATTCCAATTAAAATATTTATAATCTAAAAAAAAACATACTTTGTCATTAACACGTCTTCAGACCCAAGATTATTTTTCCAAAAAAAAAAAAAAACAATTCGCGTCAATAAAAAAAAATATGTGCCAATAATACAGCCAGACCTCCATAGCACCCCTTTGGGGCCGAGGGACAGCGTGCATTTATTGAGAGAAGCGATTTCATTGGTTGCACATGATACACAATATTTTAATACAGTAATTCCTAAAATAATTTACTTTAACCAATTTTATTTGTTTGCTATCCATTTTTCTTGCTGTAATAAAAATAAAGATGTATGTGCCCTTTAATGCTTCCTCAAGGCTTATTGTCATCTTCTCAAAATTGTCAGCAGGTACATTCATTTTATTTTTTATATTTCTGCAAGTTCTTTGATGATTTTATCATCTTCTGGAACCTCATAGACAATATTCTCTTCAGGGATATTCAAACTTGCATTTTATCAAATACAAAGTTCATTTAGTGACACAAAGTCATGTAACTAAGATAAATTTAAAAATCATCAGCAAAATTTTTTGAATTTCATGATCGGATTAAATCATGTGATATGTTGCACTAAAAATAAAAATATAACATTCTGTCTGATACATTCATTCGTTTAAAGTGCTAGCGTTGTTATCATTACAATAATCTTCTATCCTTGTTCGTATTTATTGAGAATTCTTGTAAGAAATTTCACTTTTTAATCTTTTGACATGCATGGCCCGCATTAAAAATAAAATACGAAAA